TGTTAAGTCGAGTGAATGGCAAGCATAAACTTGTAACTGTTTCAGTGACCTTTTAAAGTTTTCTAAAATGAAAGACAGACTCTTTCTTCCTTGAACATCCTGAAAACATGTGACTTTATACAAAGTAGTGGTTAAACATGAAAGCAGCTGCAACCTTCCAATAAATTCAGGTTTTGAGAGGTGATGGTGCAGAGGACACTCAGTGGCTCCCACTGTTCACTGGCTGAATGAACTTCTGCTCACTGTTTTGTAGTTCCTGTCCTGCTGGGGGATCTGACAGAAAGGGGGGTTAAGCGGGCAAGCAGGGTTAGGGAGCTAGAGGATGGCAAAGGTTTTTTGATGATAGGGTGAGGTATAGGAGATGAGAGAAAATGAAAGAAATGTTACAAGAGTGAAGAAGATTCTTGGACACCAGGGAATTCATTGTGGTTGGGTTGAAGTGCAGCACATCACCTGTTCTTATTGATATACTATCAGTTCTTATTGATATACTATCAGTTATCTTTATTGTTTGATGAGATAAAAACTGCTTAATGCAAAAAAGAGCCTTTATTCATTCTTAATGTTGTGCAGAGAACAGTTAGTTCCTTAGTTATGCTCCGTTTGGAGATTTGTTTCCTCAGGTCTTCAACAATGCTATGAAGGAAATCAAGCTGCCATCTGCTGGTCATTTCAAACTCTCCGCTTTTTGCCTTATTTAGTAATGGCCTATTTAATAAATATCATGCAATTTATTATAGTATATATCACAGTTTACTGCAGGCCTTATACAAAAAGAATATACAGTATACAAATAAATAATATAATAGATAAAATATTTTACATATGCATGATAGAGAAATTTGCGTGGTGCAATTTGAAGGAGAATATTTCACAGGTTTTCTTGTTGTCTCTCCCTCACACACACACACACACACACACACACACACAAGCTCACAGATATGTCTGTCTTTCAGGACATACACTGACATAGTGCATGCCCTAGCCCCTCACCATAATCATCATGTTTGTGGGACAATAAGCTGCTAGTAAAAACTGACTTCTTCATCACTCTTTCTTTTTATTCATATTAACAGTTAGAGAACAGCACTATCATGAGGTCAAACTGAAACTGTCACTTGCTTCCAGCATAAAAAAAAGTTTTTCACTCGTACACCTCAGGTCTCTAGAGACCCCACAGACCTTTTAGAGAGTAAAACAATAGGCTTTTATCATTTTTACCCTCAGAACAGTCTTAAAGACAGCCAGTCTGAGGAATATCAGAGAGCCGAACGATTAACTGAAATGAATAAATTAATAGACTGGTTCTGAGATGAATAGGAAAATGTTGATTATCTAAAGAAGGGGGCCTGGCTTTTAGCTCAGAGAGCAGAATTAAGTGTTAGCACTAGAGATCTGGTCAGAGCTGGCTCAGATGGCGATGCGGATGGTTTTATACTGAGCCTGCAGGAATAAAGTCCAGTTTTAAAAAGTAATTAAACCCACCAAACCACTGTTTTCACCTGAAAACCAATGTATATGGCTATTTAGTAGTGTTGTTGGTTGATTCAGATCCAAATCTTGACAATTTAATGCAAAGTATTGAACTGTTGATAGAGATATGTATAGAGGCCTCTACTGGTTGAAACCCAGCTACTGCACTAGAATTTTGTTATTGGCTGATCTGGTGGCAGGTGGTGTGTACAGTGCCAGCTTTGTCACCAACCAACCCATCCCACTGTGCTCCCGGGAACACTCAAAGCCTTAAAAGTGACTTTCTACCCTTTCATTGATCAATTTTACACTCACTGCAAAATGTTATTTTTGCCCCGACATGCAGTGTGAATAGTGGGACTTTAAATACACACAGCTGTGTGCCTTTCTACACTGTCAGGTGGACTGCAGTCAGCTTCTAGGCATCACTGAAGGATAATTAAAGCAAACAGGATGCACCTGATCACAATCTGGAGTCTAAATATGTTTTTAAGCAATACATTTAATATAGAGACATCATATTTGGAGCCACTGTTGTAGAGCATGCATGTGCTGTCATTCACTGGCATCTTGGTGTCAAGGTTTCTAGATTAGGTCTTATTCTTCAGGATGTTTGTGCACTAGTGAGAAGATACTTCATGTTTGGAAGTGTGATGTTTCATCAGTTAGGTTTTCAGTGTTTGCCTGTCGTCAGTCATCAGTCTATGTGCAGACAATACACGTAAATGCCAAAGGAAGAATTCCAAGTCATCAAATGGCTCATCAGTCTTTGTCAGTGTAACTGGCAAAGATTACAATACTTGGTGAGTCTTTATATAAACGTGATACTGTGTCAGTGGGTGAAATGAGTAAGTGACACTGTGCAGGAAAGAAACTGGTGACTAACAGAGCTGTCTTTTTCAGAGAACAGGTTAACATACACATAATTTCATGTGTACATAATCCATACATGCACATCTACACACACAGATATGCACATGAAGAAATGGAAAAAGAAAAGGTTCTCTGCTCCTCTTCTGTTTCCTTTTCTTCCTCTCTGTGATCCAGAGAAAGTGTCTCTTGTCTCTTTCTGTTCTCTTCCTGATTCTGATAATGAGGAACTGTTCAATGTCAACAAGAGGTCCTCAGAAACCAGTAGTCTGTGTGTGTGTGTGTGTGTGGGCAAGACAAGGGAGTGTAGTACTGTCAGCATAAAAATGGCCCAGAAAACAACACAGCACTTAGCCAAAAGAAATTAATCTTAATAAAAAAATTAATTTAATCCGATGAGTTGTATTTGCCCACAGCAACCCACTGTGATAATCCCTGACAACAATTAAGCATAAAAATGAATAAAAACTGTTGTTTTTAGTTTATTGTGTGAATTGTGTTCCTGCGTTAACCAGCAGAGGGCAGTGTGGAGCTGTGGAAATGTGTGATGTGTCAAAACCTTAGAGAAAAAGCTCAACATGTTCCTGTTTGTATATTACAGAGTGAAAGAGTATTTATCATCATTCTTCTTCTTGTTGTTTTGAGTTTTCAGTCATAGCACGTACATTTACTCTAATGCTGCATTTAGGAAGTATGATTTTAATGTACTTAAACCTTTAGTCATTTCCATTTTATAATACTTTATATACTTGTACCTCATTACATTTCAGAGGGAAATATGGTATTTTTTTCTCCAATATATTTATTTGAAAGCTATTAACTAGTTTTTTTTATTAAAATGTTACATAAATACTAAACTGAATTTCAGATGAGGTTCTCAAAGACAGTATAGTTTGTGTGCCCATCTGTAGTAGCAACAACATAAAAATGCTGCTGAAACAATAATGCACTACTATAAATAATCTGATAATGTTGTATATAATAATACAACTTTTAAGTAATTAAATGTTAGATTTTTATTTGTGATATTGCTACTTTACCTAAACGGATCAAACTTCTGCTTTCACCACTGTATTTTTCTCTTATGTACCAGCACAAACAGATGATATTTACTATTACAGCAATGTCTCCTTTTGTGTGCCACTGTTTGGGGAGGTGTCGGAGAAAATGAGAGCAAGAGAGAGAGATTTTGTTTGTATTAACCCAGGCTGAGGGGATCTTGAGTGTGTAGTGTGTTGTCAGAGTTTAGAGAGCTTTGGCTTCCCAGCTGTGTAAACTGGTGCTGGCCACAATGCGACTGTGTCAGCAGACTCAGAAGAAAAGCATGAAAAGTTCAGGAACATCAAAACAAAATTATACAGAGGGGTAAAATACATGTGTGTGTGTGTGTAGGTGGAGTTAGTGGGAGATAAAAACAAATGGAAAAGAAAACAAAAAGTTTTGATCATCTCTATCACAGCTGGCAACTTAGACCACTTAACAGAGCTGAAGGGAAATTATGTGATTTAGAATCACTGTTGGAAAAGAAGCACAGCACTGAACAACAGAAAGAGGAAATGGAGGAAGGAAGGTGAAAGGAAGGCAGAAAGAGTGGAGGCTGGTTTACATCAGAAGCAGGAGAACAGGGACACGTGTTCACTCACTCGTCCTGCCCGTCGCTCTCATTCACTCCCAGCAGTCACCCATGCACTCAAAGTCCCTGAGAGTAATGGTCAAATGACTTTGCTTTTCCTCTTCAGACACTTCAGTGGAGCTTGATTTATCTGGTCTGATTAGGGAGGCATTTTAATGTTTCATGTTTTTTTAATGCATGTGCTCCAACCACGAGTCAGTGCTAAATATAAACAGACTTCAGGCAGAGTCTCATTTAAAGATTCTAAGGAATTTTGTCAGGCTGAGTCAGAGTAAAGGTCTGAGTCATGGTAGCGGTACAGGAAGGCTGCTTGATTCCACACAGTGGTAGATCTTTAATAAATCCATCTACTCAAAGACTCTACCAACGTACAATTTTGAAGAACTTGCAATTTACTTGAATATTTCTATTTAATGCTACATTTACACCACTACATTTAAATCTTGTACTTATTACTCTACTACATTTTCCCACCACAGCTCGATAAGGAACTACAATCTGAGGAAACAAAAGAGGGAAATTTGTCTTGAATAAACTGTAACTTTGGTGAATTCCAGCTCGAGTTAGCTGAAGCTTCAGCCAAGCCTCAGACAAACGTCGCATTGCTTTTTTTCACTGAATGAGGGCTGTGTACTACAGCCTTCATTTTGTACAGTGTAGTCTCATTCAGGGTGAAAACATTCAGGGTCAACACCTATTCTCATGTACATATAGAGTATGCATGTCAATATTGTTTTAAGATGATCTTGAAAAATCTTGAACTTACCCTTTAATACATTTACTCTTTAAAAACATACACTTTGAGTACAGGATCTTTTCTTCTATTGGTATTTTTACTGTAGTGAAGGATCTCAGTGACTTCCACTGCTGATGCCACAGCAGTGGTTTCCACTGAGCTGTCAGTGGGTGAAAGTAGACTTCACTGATGTGTGTTGATCTGTGCCCCCCTGCTATGAGGCAGCTTCTCCAAATATCTATCTGGCATCAGGGTTTTTCGAAGGGCTGTTTATTTACATGAGAAATAGGATGCAAAGTCTGACTTTACACTGTAACATCTAAGTGTAGGAAGCAACTTTCATCACACCTTGTACAGTATTACCTGTTGAATCTACAGCTACTGTGTGTACTTACTGTATGTGTGTGGCCTTGTTTTTTTATATCTATGGGGACCCCAAACCAGGAGTATACTCACACTGAGGGGACTCAAAGTACTACAATCCGGGAAAGAAACCATAGAATTTTAGGGTGACCTTCACTGGATTTTAGAGACACATTATGTATTTTTTACAAAGTACATTTATTTAAATTCAATTCAATTCAATTTTATTTGTATAGCACCAAATCACAACATATTATTATTATTATGGAGGAAAACCCCAACAAAACCATCTTGAGCAAGCACTTGGCGACAGTGGGGAACTTATTTGGGAGCTTTAGCTACTATGTACTTTTCAGAATCAGATTAATACAACAAAATACAATATAATCATTAGACCTTATTGTTCCTCACTGGAAAATGCCCAAGCTGCCCAGAAGTAACTGATGTTATAAGCATAGGGTAGTTTACATTAGCTCCACCTTTAACAGCTGCAGTATTAAATGTGATGAACATATTAATGCATCAATAATTATAACCCAGTAATATGGTATACATTCATGTGAAATGTGCCATTTTGCATTATGAGTACTTTTAGTTTTGGTACTTTAAGTATGTTTTGGTGCTAATACTTTAGTACTTTACCGTAAGTAACAGTATAAATACAGAACATTTACGTGTAACAAAGTATTTTTACACTGTAGTATTGCTTAAGTAAAGAATCTGAGTACCACTGTGTGTGTGTCTGTGCTGTTTGGCCCCAGATAATCCTCTTCTCAGCAATGGCAGGGTTTTACACATGACTGATTTTTATTCCTACCCTGAACTTGATCGCACACACTCTGATTGTTATACATTTATTACGATGTGACCTTTGCTCTCCTGTCACAGAGGTGACAGAGCTGTCCTGCTTAACAGAGAGCTAAATGAGTAACTTCAGACTTCTCGTCTACACACCTGAATGTGTCAGTACAAAAATACAAAAACATCTTTGTATTGTGCTGTTACAAACACAGCAGTGCTCAGTGGAAGGGTTTTGAAATTACTTTAGGGACAATTTATGGCAAAATCCATCAACGGCAATGACTTAAAACAATGAGAGTAAGATTTAAAACCTCTTTTAAAAGTAAATGAGTACAGTTTGGGATTCAGCAG